CAATATAAATATAATGAATCAGATTCAATTTTAAGTTGTTTTTCCCACCCCCTACACTCTCTAGCTAAAGCAAAATTGTGTGGTTAAATTAGGAAGGTGTAATGGCAGTATACCATCAAGTAATCATTTGTCTTAAAACACAACATGCTTATAAAAATCAGTTTCTTATAAATAAAAAAGGACCACATGGGAGAAAGTGCTAAATGATGGATATGTTCTACTGATACATTTTCAAGATAGCTATCCCCTTGTCTCCCTGAGCATTAAACCCCCTGGAGACTATCTTGGAGTCTCCTCATGAGGAGCAGCTGTCCAGAGCACTTGTGGGCGATCTCAAGTCCTCTCCTTGTCTGGAGAGGAATTATTGAAGAACCAGTTTTACTCACTGGCTCTTCATCCCACTGCAGTCGTCAACTCTGTTTTTTGCAGAGCCGTTTTCAATCTGCCATTTCTTCCTCTGAAAGTGTTAAATGATGGATATATTCTATTGAGAAATTTTCTTGGTTCATAGTAACAGAGAAAATGTCCACTGACAGCTCTAAGAGAATTGTTCCATCTCTAAATCTCCTTAAATTGCTACCAAAAAGGTAATTTGAACAGAGACACAAATGCAAGGAACAGAAGCAGCTTGTTTCAGAGATAGAAAATGTTTGGATATTGTTAAGGATTAATTCAGAACATTATTTTTGAAACACTTTCCAAAATACTTAGAGATGACAATCCACCTTCATGAAAAATGGGGTTACACTGTATATTTTGACAGAAGGCTTCAATGATGCAAAATAAACTAGGTCAGGCAGGCTGAAAACAATATCAGGTTGAGCACTGTTATTTTAAAAATAATATGTTAAATTTGTTGCAGCATTTGTAAGTTTCCACATGTTGTCCAGTCAAAAAAGCCACCATCACCAATATAGAACTATACCTTGATATAAACATTTCTTTTTTTCTATCAAGTATCACGGCAGGATCACTTCAGATAACTGAATATTACCAGATGGTGTAGCAGCTGGATATGGTTGAATACCAATTCTAAAAATATTTCTTATGAGTGAGGATTTCAGAGTTCCAAGTAAAGTGGATTTCCTCTAGGAATATGATGATTGGAAAGTATTAAATGATTTAAAGCTGTACTTGAGCATAATAAATTTTAAAACACAAAGATTGTGTTTTGGCAATTTAATTTGGAAAAATTAACTGTGGAGGAATTCAGTACTGCTGCCCAACGTCTCTGAAGTTGGGAAAATGAGTACACTGTTACATGCATGTTCATGGAGACAGAGAGAAACCTTGCTAAAACAAAAAGTATGTCATCAAATACCTCTTCCTTAATTTCTTTATAACCACATATCCTGCTACTGCTTGTTCAATGCACAATCTTGTTTTATATTATCAGAGATGCAATGTTATTCAACAAGGGTCCAGCTATTCCTATGGACATGTAAGAAATCACAGGAAGCCTTGGATTTGTCCAACCTAGGGTTGACTGATTTTCAGCTGACCTTATCTATGCTTTTAGTAGCAGTGTAATATTCAAAAATTTAAGAAAATGAAGTTTCTACTTCTAAAGACACAGATATAGGGTTAGTAAAGATGGCAATCATAATCTTCCCTTCCCTTCCCTTCCCTTCCCTTCCCTTCCCTTCCCTTCCCTTCCCTTCCCTTCCCATTCTGTCTTTTAGTTCAGACCATATATGGGTATATCCTATATCAGCACTCTTCATACATTTTTTCCCTTGGCTATCCCAAACATGGATTCCATTTTTAAACTTCATTTCCTCCTGCATAACTTAAAAAGACTAGAATAAGATTGTCAGTGTTGTTTTGATGGGAGATGGTGTTCACCCATTTTGTTTTGGTTCATTTGTGCAGAGTGTTAAAACTTTGAGATGCACAGTCCAGAACAATAAAGGAAAGCCTGAAATAATCACGTTCTTGAGCGTGGATGTATATTCCTGAATTCCATTAAGGTAAAGCAGATGCCACAGTGAGCTGACTTTGTCCAAGCCTAGAGATAATCTGGGTTTGATCTGGTACATGTTTGGAGGGGAGACCAATACAAGGATTTTAAGCTAAACTGGGAAGTTGGAAAGCATCCTGTAAAAAAAACAGTGACAGACCATTTACAATGCATAACAAGGCCAAGAAGCCTGCATGTTTGTGTCCATATAGTCACTTGGTGATATGTTTATCTCAGCATATTTGTAGGAAACTGAAGTAGGAATTTTAATAGTCTAATGTAAATCCATTTTCATGCTGTGCTGCTGAAAACATCTCAACTTCAAGGTGCTGGTTACAACCTATAAAGCCCTACCTGGCATAGGGTCTGGTTACTTGAGGGACCATTCATCTTCCATGGTATCAGCCTGGCCAGTTTGATACAACAGAGTTGGTGCATTCCAGGATCTTTCGATCAAGCAGTGCCACCTATCAGACCCCAGAAGCATTCCTTCTCTTCATGGTACCTGCTCTCTGGAATGAGGTTCCCCTTAAGACCTGGGAAGCTCCCACATTGATGGTGTTCTGGAGGACCTTAAAGATGTGGCTGTTCTCCCAGGCATTGGACTGGGATGGTTGGAACCCTTGTGGGCAAATGATATGTTTGTTTTGTTGACCACTTCTGCCATCTTGTTGATATATGCTTTTTGTATATTTGTAGTTTGTTTTTATGCTGTGATCTGCCCAGAATCATTTGGTGTTGGACAGCGTCCATATTGAATAAATAAATAAATAAATCTTTGCTTTCATGGTCAGAAATAACATTACATTTCAAAAAAGCTAGAGCCTAGTTTAATTTATTGAAATAATGTTATACTTCAGAAAAGCTAGAGCCTAGCTTAATTCCCATTTATTTCAATTGATCTACTCTAAGTATGGCCTTATCTAAATCAATCCAGAGCCTTTTAGCTGGACATTAATGGTACCACTAGCTCAATATAGAAAAGTATTGATGGTGTGCAACATGCAAGCTGCTAATGATTTTTAATAAGAAATGCAGTGTTTGCCCATTAAAATTGACCAGGTAGACATTTAAGATCACTTAGACAAGGATTTGTTTTATTTCAGCTCCCTCTATAAATACATACAGTGTTGTTATTTGTAAAATAAGAAATCATAACATGGCAAAAGGTAGTTGGGTGTTATCAAGCTATTTTGCTTATTTTTAGTATTCAAGGTTACTTGATTAATTTAATACTGTGGTAATGTGCGGTATTTTTTGACACTACCAGGCACCGGGCTGTTGTATTATTTGATTAAACAACATCCACACTCCACACAACCATGCCCTCTCCACTTTCCTTAATCCACAGGATGGAATCCTTGGATAGGAATGCAGTGAGATACCAGAGACACGTGTCTCATTCATATATTGGGGGTAAATAAAAACATCCACATTCTTGGTCCTCAGCTGTCAGCTCCAGGTCCCTGGTCTCTACTTAGTAGACTGACTCTTTGCTTCTAAATCTTTCCTTTTCCTCAGCACTTTGGATGAAGAGGTTTTCCTCCTTTCCTTTGTAGGTATTTTTTGCTGGAGGATACCATACATTTTTGTTGATAAAATGTGCTTCTTTTGTAAAATTAAATCAGTGAAGACTGAGCAAACAGATTGATGGAGACAAAGGTTACACCGGTGTTGTCCAAACTTGGCCACTTTAAGATGAGTGGACTTCAACTCCCAGAATCCCCCCACAGCCCCCGCTCGCCGGGGGAAATTGGGGGGGTTGGAGCAGCACCATAAAGAGGGCCAAAATTGTGAAACACAGGGTGTAA